AAATTGTGAATGAATGCCTTCAAATTACCCCTCAAATATTGCAAAATGTGCGGCAACGTTTTGAGCAAAATCTTTATTATTGCATGGAGAGTCATTTTCAACATTTACTTGCCTAACGGGTCAGTTCATTCTTCATTTTTAAATTACTTTGCTGCCAAATGTATTGATCTCCACTAATGATGATGTATTAGTTTTATTTAAGCTTTAAATCAATAAATCTTCAAAACTACTGAACTGAAGTACATTAGTTTTATATCATTATAAAGGTAATTGAAAGACCTTTAAAATAAGGTATCACTCGACCCCCCTTTCCATTTAAGATTTTTGGGGTGGTGTCACCCCCGCTTAGGGAACTGCACGTGCTAACCTGATTTTTTGCCAAACTTGTGTCCCCCTCGAAAACAAAATCGACGGGTCTGAGCGTTTTTTAAAAAAAAGTGAGCTGCCAGTAAATGCGTCTGTTTCGTTTTCGATGCGCCACCCTGTATAAAAAATATAAACAAATCTCTGGAGGATTTAATTAGTATGAGCATGGGCAGAAAGACGACATTACCAGAAGAAATGGAAACCCACATGGTAACAAACTGTTTAGAAATGGACAAACGTTTCTATGGTTTGACTTCTTCAGACGTACAAAGAATGGCGTTCAAAGTTGCCTTGAGAAATAATTTACCGAATCCATTTTCACGTGAAAAGGGTAGAAAAAAATGGCTTAGAAAATTTCTTTGCTCGATACCCTAATTTAACATTCAGAAAACCACGGGGAATTTCTTCTGCAAGGATTAAAGGATTTACTCCAGACAATGTGGAGATGGTTTGTGACATTTTGAAACTTGCTTTGCAAAAAAATTGTAATAACCCGGCTAAAATATATAATGATGAAACCGGAATAACAAACGTACAGTCACTTGTCACAGTGGTGACTTGCACGAATGCTGCTGAGGGGTTCGTATCTCCGATGCTAAGGAAGAACATGAACGCAGAGCTTCTCGATGCAGGATCCCATTCATCGGGGTGGATTCAACAAGGTTTATTTACTGACTGACTACGGCATGTCATTAAACAGACAAAGCCATCAGTTGATGACCCAGTCGTACTAATTCTTGACGGACACTACTGTCATACGCGAAACTTGGACCTCATTGAGCTTGCTAGAACACATGGGGTGATAATTATATCAGTCTACCGCCCCATCCGACCCATCAAATGTAACCACTGGATCTGGCACTTTTCATCTGGGCCGTGTTGCTAATGGTTGCGAGAATTATTTGCATTTACAGCCTTGTAAAAATAATGGATATTTTATAATGACGAAAAATCATTTTGCCCGCCTATGTCAACTTGCCCGCCTTTCCCTTTCCCTACATTTTAGCAATATCAGATTTCTACTGTTGTCGGTGGTAATATTCAATATAAAAAGCTTTTCAAAATTTATCTTGCCTAAATGCATGCAGATATGTGCAAATTATAATACGAATACGAATTTTCTCTGTTATTGTCAATCTGTAAACAAAAAAATAGCAGAGGTTGACTATCTTGTTGTATATGCTGAGAAATGTAAAAATGAGGAATTCATTTTAGGTCCACAAAGGGGCCTTATCATCAACTTTGAGGAAGACTGCTTTAGATCAATCCGCCTTACATAAGAATTTATTTTCTTCCCTCTCATTTATCTGTATATCTTCAATTTCACTTTCCCTTGCGCAAATTTTCCATTTTATTACAAGTGAAAAGTAAACGAATAAGTTCGATAGACTTCCACAATTATCTGTGAATTTCTGGGCTTGTTCTCTGTAGTATCACCGTAATATCTATCCAAAATACGATGCACAGTCACTATTATCTATGTCTATGTAAATGCGGGCTTCAAAAATTCCGAAGTGACGTGTTCCGAATTTGGAGTAGAAAAGGTGCTGCCAAAGATCCCTTGTGGATGCCAATGCCAAACTGAGGTGTAAAAGGAGAATGGGTAATGGTCTCTTCAAATAGAAAAAAGATTTATTAAGGTGTATATGCATTTATACAGTCCAAGATAAGGAACCTATGCATGGGGATCTCAATACCTGTGAGAAATATAACTCAGGTTAAATTAGAAAAAAGTTGCGTTCTTTGGGGGCGTATTACCATGCCGTAGAGAAACTTGTAAAAATCTCATGGCCTACTGAGATATTTTGGAAAAACTAAAAAAAAATCATTTTTATTTTTTCTGACTTTATTTTAAGGAATATCAAAAAACTAATGAAACTTTCCCATTGGAACTCTCTAGGCACTATATGAGTTTTTTAAATTATCAACTTAATTTTTTATAAGGTCCCTGTATCTGATAGAACTTTTTATGCGAATTTAACGATGTATCACATGTTACATATATTATCTTGGTTATAAGGAAAGATCGACCTGCTGAAGTGCTACATTGTGTGCTAAAAAAATACTTGAAAGAATTTGTTGTAACCAAATAAAGTAAACGAATAATGAACCATGAGAATAAGTGACACTCTTATTCCCGAGGCTTTGAGTACGGGAAGAAAAGCGCACTTTTGACGTTACAGAAGGATTACTTTGTTCCGAATGCATGGAACAGGTACGTCAAACAATTACGAACGCTAAAATTGTTACAGAGTAGTAAAAAGTACACTCTGTAACAATTTACGAACGCAACCCAGTAATCACATAATCTTATGCCGGGTTCACACCAAACCAACAAAACAGAAACAAAACAGCAACTCATTGTTTTTCAACAATTAAGCAACAAACCGGCAACATTCCGTCAACAATTCGTGTTCTGTTTCTGGCAACTTTTGGCGTTGCCGCCGCGATTCGGTAAAGATCAAAAGGTTTCTGTTTCGTTTTTATTTCAGACATTGTCGGTGCGATGTGTACTTTGTTGCGAAACAAATATAAAACAGAAACTAGTTTCAAATTCGAAGGCGCTGCGAAGGATATTTAAAAATAAATACGCAGTATGCCGGGTAAAAAATTAAAGTGGAGTGTAGATAACACTAGTGAATTAATTGAACCATATAAGGAGTATCCTATATAGATATATCTTAGTATTACGGCCAAAGGTTTAACTCGGTTGATGGCATTTCTGCAATTGGTATTTTTTTTTATAAATTTCAGGACCGATTAGCTGTATTAATTCTTCAAAGCTTTCACTGGACATTCTTAAAAAGTTCTGGAAACTAGAACACATTTCTCCTCGCAATCCAATATCATCTTTACGTAAATCGGACAATTATTTTTCAATACCACGATCATCTCTTTCACGTAAGAATGTCTTCACCCAAAAGCGTTTTTTATTTTCCCGGTCACAACTCTCATTTTGTTTTGTTTCCAAACAAATGCTCATTATTTGTTGTGTTTCTGTTTTGCTCCTTGTTTTTGTTTTATTGCTTTGATGTAGACCCGACATTATGAAAACAAATGTATCATGTGATACATCATTTGTAGAAATTGTAGAAAAAGATGCTGTCCGGACCATAAAAAATAAAGATGATGATGGTTTCTCAAAAACGAGACGTCGGTTACAAAATTTATAAACACTATCATGTACAGCCTAGAAAGTGCCAACGAAAAAGTTGCATAGGATCCCCATCCCTATCTTGGGCACCCTGTATATACAGTATATACAAATTCAAAGTACTTCCGGAGAGAGATGGAAAAAACCGAATTTTCCTAAAATCGTTTTAATATTTTCCTGACTTTATTTGTAGTGGGATACTGGGATTTCAAAATAACTTGCACATTAAATTGCCACTTTTTCTGACCGGCATTTTAGAACATTTTTTAAACATAATGAGGGATTGTGAAATACCTCATTTTGACGTGCTTTATTTAAATATTGAATAAATCAAAATCTGTTAATTTTTTAATCTAAATGACTCGTATTTTATTGCACATTCAGAGAGACCCTTCCAAAAGAAAAAAATTGATGAAAAATAACGTTTTGATTATTTGTCGAGTTATACGCGTTTCAATATACAGAATCACTCAACCTTGCCAGCCTCCCAGATCTCCATTTTGAAACATAGGTATTAATATTCCCTTCCTCCTCCTTGGATTGCAAAAAGCTGAAACACTTTTATTACCAAAAGTTATCTCAAAGCCGCCATCCCTTGGATTGTTTGGAACCAAAATTCATTCAAGTTTGGAAGCATAGGGTCCCCCTATTCGGAATGTAGAAGGTTGACAATCGTATTTGTAGGATTAAGTTCACAAAATGGGAATTTAGGGTACCTCCAGCACCCCCTTTCGTTTGATCCATGATCTTAGAAACACAATGTTTAGCAAATAGAGAAACAGCTATAGCAAATTCTCAAAGATGACGCTACCGTATCTCATTTTATTTCGAATACTGTTTTGGACGCTGGAATATAGAATTAGGTTGGCTATCTTCACGTAGAATATGCTAATAACTGTCACAGACGTATTATAAAACGTATTTGGAAAAATGAGTATCCATAATATAAAAAAGGTCAAGGTATATTAGTTAGGAATAGACTAAAGATTAATAATTCTGACTTTTCAATCCATTTTTGAGTGAACTGTTTTTTACCTCCACACCTCTCCAATGTACAGATTGTTTCGGAACTCACTAAAATGAATGTAGGGATGTTTGCAAAACTTCATATGGAGATATGTTGAAACGTTTCGTTTTCGAATTAGTGTGTATGAGTTCCAAGAAATTATTTATTCTCAAAAATATAGAAAGCTGATTTTAGCAAAAGTTTGTCATTAACTAATAACTCAACAAGCGTTAGTTAAATATAAATCAATCTTTCAAGAGGCCGCTATTAATTTTTTAACCATTACTCGGGTTTTTGGAAAATTTGTCAGGGACGCTAGATCATAAATTTGATATTCTCTTAACATCGGATTTGAAATCCACATACCTGATTCACTATGTATTTTGTCCTAAAAATATTATGTCTGCATGTCAGCGGTTAATTCGTAGTTTGTAAGGATCTGGGGTAGGGTGAAATAAAATGAGAAAAAATGGATACAAAAAAATATATAATTCCTACTGGTGCAAAAACAATTGATTATATTTGTAAATATTTTTGTTACCGAATTAGATTGCACTTACAACAAGGGCCTTATACAAATATAAAACAAAATATACAAAAATGTTTCGGGGACAAGGGACTAAGGATAGCTGAAGACTTTTCATTGTGGAAAAAAATCTATTTTTTTTTTTTTTTAGATAGTAGAACTGTTTATCGCTATTTATTTTATATATGTAACAATACATGAGTATATTAATTATTAAATGCTTGCATATATTTATGATATATGGAAGGGGTATAAATTTTGATAATAATAACCTCAAGTCTTCAGGTATCTGCTTTTGCGGACGTTACTAACAAAAATATTAACAAAAATCAACAATTGTCATTAACCAACAGAAATAAAATATATAAACAAAAAATAATAATGTTAGAAACGTCTACAGCTATTCACCAGTAGTAGGGAATCTAAATAAATTAAGCAAAAATGTACATTTTTACTTTCTCTTGTAGCAAAGGTACATTAGAAATATGTTTTAAACATTTTTCCTTTAAATCAATGATTATTTAACAGTAGCTTATACCATTACCCCTGGCCAACCCAAAATAATTTTACAAAAATTTGGCTATTCTACGCTGCTGTAATACTCATCCAGTTAACCTCTTGTTAAAAAATTTAATACATATATCAGTCGTTATGTTTAGCAGACTTCTCATACTAAAAGTATTTCTCGAACTCATCTAAACATGTTAAAAAAAACCCAAAACCAAGACAAACACTATATAAGAATTGCAGAGTATCCGAAACGGCAGTCCTCAATTTTCCAATCATATATTCAGCCTATTCCAGCTAAATTTAAGACTAGCGGTACAGTACAAACAAAAATTGCAATTTCAAGTTTCAATTCATCTCTCAAGCTTTAGATGTACATAATTTGAATACAAAATGTATGTCTCCAAGCACAATGACTTATTCTTGGTGTTGAGGATGGAATAAAATATAGAGATAAAAAGATTAAATACTAATAAAAGTTTATTTAACAAAAAGTTAACATAAATTCACATTACAAACATTATCAGTTGTAACACAGCCATGTTGAGATGTTAGATCTGTTTGTGCTGTGATATTATAGGATGTCAACAAAATGTATAAAAATGTTTTTGCTACTAGAAGTTTCAATCAGTACTATTGGTATATTTTGAATAGAGTTCTTATAGGTTAGTGAAGAACAAAATTGGTGAAAACTATTTTCGTTAATTGGTGATTTCGTCACTTATAGGCTTTTTAGCGGACTTTAAATAAATAAATGTTGAAGGTATGGTGCGAAAGATTATTTGGTTAATATAACAACTGAAACTTATTATTTAATTCATAAAAGTTGTTGCACTTTTGCAAAAATAATAAAACACTTTTACACTAAAATTCTTTATTTCCAAATGAGTGACCCTGGAAGTAACATACTTTTCTATAAGAATATGCAAATAAAAACAGAAAACATTTAATTTAAATCTAAACGACAATATGGATTTCTGTGTTTTTTGTGTTTCTCCACAGCAGTTTTTACAATGGTTTGAGAAATTGTTACATATTATCGACATTCTATAGATAGGAACAATAAGATTTCTAGAAGCTCTGTTTTTCCTCTAACATCTCAATGTTTGATCTATACATGGATGTTATAAAACCAATAACTATCTAATAGCCCTGATAACACTAACCGTTGTCAAAATGTACACTTATATACTAAATAATATATGCATATAAATTTCTATACAAACAAAATTACAGTATACAGTATTATGCTTCTTCGTAAAAAGATATAACAATAGTGTGATGTTACATTAATATTTATATAACAAAAAAAAATCATAAATAGTTTTAAAACACTGGGTTTGGATGCTTAACGCTATTGGCAACGGCTAGCATTTCTGTAAGCGACGATAATATTAAAAAACTTAATATTAAATCTATGCTCTGGCATTTCTAGAAGAAATTACATAAACTCTGTACAAAAAGGGAAAATGAACACCACCATTTGGTACCATAAGAAATATTCCGTTTACAAAAACTACACATTCTGTAACTACAGACAGATGAACGTTCAAAACGCATTATACAAACAAAGTTTCTCAAATTGCACTTTTAACAAATATCACTTGCACATTTATAGAAATTCAAAATATTTCATAATGTCAAGTGACTAGTACTGTCTAGAGACACTTTTGTGTGATTTGTGCATGAAGTAATCAGGGAAAATTCGATATACAATAACTACTCTTGATATTTTAATAGATATTAAAGTGGTTTGGTTTTGTGAGAAGGTTTTCAAGACGCTAACTAAAACAGAAAGATGCAAAGTGCATTGAGCAGCTCTAAATTAACTACAGATATATGTTTCACTCTCTGGGGCTCGTCAGTGTGGTGATGGCTCAGAGTAACATACTGTACATCACCAAAACCTTCAAGAGCTGACTAAAGTCTGAATCACACGACGAAAGGCAGTATCAGACGTCAAAATTTTTCATAAACCTTAGAATCTCAGCTCGGTATTTGACTTAGGTGCACACAGGATTCTGAAAATTTTCTAAAACTTTGAAAATCTGAAATATTTTTGAGAATTCTAAAAATCTCGCAAACCTGTGATTTCGACTGTTACAGTCTGCTGTGAAATGCAAATGTTAAATCTCTCCTTGAGGATTACTTAAGGGTGACTTACTGTTCGTTCAGTTCGAGTCAGCTTTAGAAATCGGCCTCATCTATTCGTAAGCTTCAGTTCAGTAGTTAAGTTAGTAGTAAGTTACCCAGCTCAAAGCTTTTTGTTCGTTCATCTGTCCATAGCTTTACCAACAATTTTTGTCATTTATCTGACAAAAAATGTCCATCACAATCACTTACATAAGAAACATGTGAACTAAAAACTCTCACCATTTCTTACTGGTATCGACGAGACATTACAGACTACCGAGTTGTTTCACTTAAATGAGTTACGACGAAGTTGCACAAGGGTTGTAAAAGATCACCTTGCTGCAACATGCATAATGAATAATCAAATATATAAAGGGTAAAATGGAAATATTACTAATTTCAGTCTAGTGTCGAATTTTATCATTATTAATTTTTCATATATACAGACTAAGCTTTGTTCTTACAATGAAACCTATTCGTTACCTCTCTACGTATCTTAAATGTGCTTTCTTACCTTTCCAAAGCTCGTGAATAGTTAATTTATTATATATAAAACATGCGATTTTTTATACATTGAACAGAATTGAAAATACAACATAAAATTTAATTGGATAATTTTCAGAAATCCTTTACGAGTCTTATATTAACTGATTATGATTGTGCATCTTGTTTTGGGATTGTATTTTCAGCTCAATGCATAATAAACTACCAGTATTTTGTTTTACTTAATAAAGTACAAAATCCATATCATATGAGGATCCATTTTGAAAGTGCAAAACTAAAGAGCATGAAAAGTGAGAACAAATTGTTCAAAAAGGAACTTTAACTTAACTTCAACATAGAGTCAAAATCATAAACATCCACTATGTACTTTATAATAGCACAACTTTCTAATATTGTTTAAAATAACCGGTTAATAATGATGACATGACTATGATAAATGACTAATGATGTATGATCCTGACTGATTCTATCGATTCTTGAGGGATGACAATGTTGATGGTGATGACGAAAATGTGAATGATGATAATGGTGATAATTTTTCAAAAATGATTGTGGTGATCGTTACAAATAACTAATGGTCTATGGTTCTGATTGATTTCATCGAATGCTGAGCGATGATTATAATTGAAATGACAATGGTGATGATAATAATGGAAATGTAGTTAAATGTGAAAGATAACGATAAACATGAAAGTTGTTGTGAAGATGGCAACGACTATAAAGATGATGATGATAAACATGATAATAATGTTGGAAATGACGATGATAAAGATTAAATCAAACGTGAGAACGACAACGACGGTGAAGATGATGTTGATGAATATGATGGTGATGATGTTAAAAATGATGATAATAAAAATGTAGTTTTAGATAAAAATGATAATATCAAGAATAAGGAGGATGACGAGCAAGATTACAATAACAATAAAGGTGGTTTTGATGAGCATGATGAAAACAATGATGATGATGGTAATAAAGATGCTTAAAGATTTGTACATGGTGTATAAATTAACTATTTTCGGAGAACCCGATCATTGAGTGTTTATGATTCCAACTTCGCTTTTAACCAAACTGATAATTTTAAATAAACTGATGCGAGTGTCATTCTCAACACATTGTAATCTTCATGTAAGAACAAACCTGGCAAAAATCGAGACGCCGCATATCTATCTGTTTATGTAATTTCACCTTAGGCAATGATTCTGATTCATTCCTATCACGTGCTGTAATTTTTGTCGAGTTACTGGATCTTCTAAGAAAAAGTCAGCAACAAAACAACGTAGTGTAAATCAAGGTTTTGTCAGATATAATTCTATCTCATAAATACTCTATTAGTTCTATTTCATATATTTTTACATATACATCTCTTTATATATAGTATTTTTATAAAATCATCAAGTCGTCACCGAAACTTAACTAGTAAGAGAAGAGAAGTTGGAAGGGTACCTAGAACAACATTCATTATAGACAGAATATTTTTTAATATTAATTTATCAGAAACGAATCGTATCTTTCTATTGAATACCTTTATCATATTTTCTCCAATTATGGATTTTTATTGTTTTATAAAAAAACTATGGATCGATTGCCGAACATTTAATATTGATTTTAAAACCGAAAAGCTAAGAATGAAATTCTCGAAAATATATTTAAAAAAAAATGGGAAAGAAATTAAATATAAAGAATGTTGTTTCATACCCTCTTCTTTTACCACGACGCGTTCGAAAATAGTAAAAACTTACGAAAAAGATTCAAGCATACAGTCTTCTATATATTGTATTGATTCACTTTTAGCTAGAATTGAGTCTAAAACTAAGGTGACTTTTTAGTATACGTATATAAACGCAGTCTACTTATTATTTAAACTAAAATAAGTCCTTACTATTTCAAACTGGGGGTGGCTGTCTATATCTCATGTACGGGGTGAATTACTCAACACGTATAATTATACTCGAAGTTATGAAAAAATACAACACTTTTTTTTTGGGTGCAGATCTACAATGTTTCACTTACAGTTACGTTTTTAAATTATTATAATCAATAAAATGGCTGATTCAAAAATATTTGCGAAAGCTCATCCATATAATTTTTTGTCTGAAAATTGGGAAGGTTCAGGACAAGAGAAATCATATATGGGAATCTGTTGCTCTAAGTCTACCACGAAAAAAAAAGTATTTATTCTGAAGGCTCTCAAGAAAGACTCTTAAAAAAGACGTTTTGAGTGATTCACCCTGTAACAAATTGTGTTATTTATTATTATGTTGTATTCTTAATGCGTAAATAGCGTGTTACGTGGCAGATATTTAACGTAAATGTATTTTTATCTTTATCTTCAGTGCGTTCAAAAAACCGCACAACCGAAATGTTTATAACAAAATCAGCACCTAAGGAACACACTCAAAGCATCCATCAAAAATCACATATAATAATATTCACATGTTTTGAATCAAATGAATGACTTTACAAGAATGACAGCTAATCGCTTTCCTTTTGTTTTTTGCTTACGTAGAACTACACGGAGATTATCAATGGTAAAACTTTGTCAGAAACGTGTACTTTTTACAGATTCCCGAAAATTAATGGCCACACCATGTATCCCGTATCTAAGAAATATATAGACCTCAAAAGTCAAAATGTACTTCTGGTACTTGAGATAAAGTTAGACCAAGGGTTATTTGTCGGAATTCTTTTCTTCAAGAATGTGTAATTTTTGATGGATGCTCTACTTGTATATCACGAATCAACAATCAAGTTGTACTTTTAAAATCAGGGCCCGGCTCGAGGTGGTCTGCGGTTTTTCTAACGTTTCTTCTGCATCTCCTTCGTTTTTACTATATTAGAGATCTGCGTTTTTTAAACTGCTATGTCACAACAATAAATTTTTATCCTCATAATAACGAAATTATACTTTTAATATTATTTATGTATTTAAGGCCGATACAATCTTTTTATAAAGGAATCTGAAACAAAAGAAAAATTTGTGTTAAAACGATCACCTCAAAACTAAAAATTGACAGAATGTTTTAAAGCATGCTATTTGCATTTTCAAAAGATTCGGCAACTTGAATAGTACGTAAAATATAAAGCAACATCCTTGGATCCAAATATCAAATATGTCGCTTCTGACTATGGGGAAAAGTGAAAACATTTCGGAAATGTTGTTTATTGACTTTGGAAATATTTGACGGAATGATTAATTGGTTGATATATACTTACAAGTAGCTACACAAGGCTGCCGCTAAGTCATTTCCGAAAACGATTTGAAAGGCCTTCAGCTGTCTACGCTGAACAGCTCCTTGTGCAATGCTGGAAACTCCAGGTGTGGCGCAGATCTTTTCAATTTGCCCAATGCATCCATATGAAGCATACTTACTTCCCTAAAAAATACATAATATAAAGTTCAACATCAGCTCATTGTGAATGTTATAAGGGGCATGTAATCCCTCAAGACTTAAATTTAAGGTGAATGTCCAATCTATTATATAACATTATGTTATGCAGCTACAGTATGAAGAAACGTGCGACTTTATTTAAGGTGAGAGTGCTATGTATCTCATAGTATGCACCTTCATCAAAACTTATGTATAAAAGTGGAATATGTAATTACTTATAATTAGTACGTGTTAGAGTGTTTAATTTTTAGTTTTTTGGGATCTTTACCTTAACGTAGTTACTTTAGTAAGCAAGGCATCACAAACAGTAACATCCCCTTTGATGGGTATACTATGATTGCGGTCGAGTTCCAGTCGTAGAGCCCTCAGTACCGCCTGACTTAACCGACTTATTTCTCCCATGCCTCTCAGTCCGGGTCGATCTGAAATCAATTTATTTATGTATCACTCAAATCTACATTTAAGTAGTTTTTTAAATTGCAGATTTTTTGATAATTTTTAAATATTATATTGAATCCTCATTCAAGCACATTCAATTTTTCCATTGTTTCCAAATTATTTAAAGTCATAAAATTGCTGCATTATTAAAATTCCGAAAAAATAAAATCGGAAAATACAGAAAGTTCGTAAATTTGTAAAATTCAGAAGATTTACAAAAACCATAAAATTCAGGAGAATAAAAAAAATTATAAAATTCAGAGAGTCCATGAAGTTCAGAAATATCAGAACATCCAAGAGTCAGAAAATCCAGAATATTCCGAATAATCAGGTGATTACAAAAAATCCACAAATTTCAAAAAGGGAATCTAAAAAATCCAAAAATATAAAAATATTAAAATTTCATGAATACTGATAATTCTGAATTTTTAAATATTCTCTTTTATAAATATCACCTATCTGAGTATGTACAAACCTGGAGACAGTAATACGCATGCGGAATACAGCGCTAATTCCGTCTCTGTGAGTTTAAGTTCCGCGATGCTCTTGGCCAACTCGAACACGCAAGCAACCAACTTCATTTCGGCTGTGTCCGACGTGAAGAAGGCGTCCTGAGGCAGCATCGTGTCACCATACAGCACGCAGCTCTGCGACAGATCCAGGTATCTGCTCATGCGGATTATTGCAAGTTCAAAACTACCTGAAATACAAAAATCCCAGTTAGAATAAGGCTTGACTGTTATGTCAACATTGACTTTTATTTCTAAAGACTGTTCTCACCAGAAGCGATCTCCATTTGGTTTGAGTTTGTTATGGTAGCAGTCAATAAGATGTAACTTCTGAAACGTATCCTGTATGTTCATAGGACTCCATTGTCTGGCCGAAAACATGCTTAAATTTCGACAACCACGGTGGCATTTTTCAAGTACAATGACAATAATGACAGCATATCTGGTTTATCTGTCTTCCAGGTGACAGTTCGTTTTTTTCTTTTCATTCCTAAAAAGTATGTTGCGACAATAGATTGAACGGTCCCATAGCATGCCGAGATCGCGCAAAACCATCAGTGCCATTTTAAAATGGCACCGCGTAAATCCATAAAAGCCCAGGATCGCCTGGGGTAGGCATTCCCGCTCTCAAAAGGTCGTCCAGTTCTCCCAAAGCGGCAAGCGAGCAAGATCTAACCTGTATTTTTTAATGTTCCAGACACGTCACCCTCAGCCATCGTTCCGAAAACGACAAAAGTGCTCCGAAGACCATGTTCTTTGCCTTGTGAGAAAATAATATATGACACAAAAGTTTGACCTTGAAATGGTGCAGTAAAACATCTGCGCATAAAACCGTGAGAAAAAGGCTTGAAGTAAAAACTCATGGTCCATCGGTCTATCTGGAGAATATCATTTAGATAATCAATCAAATTGGGTCACAGTCCACAAAGGAACAAGAAAGACAAGTGTTGTTTAATTTTAAACGTGCTGATTTCTTTACCGTCCTTCTGTAATTGTTATCCACCTTGTGCAATATTGAGGCTCGCTTAGAGCTAATTTTAAAATTTCTTCCTTTATTATACAGAGTGTCTGGGAAATCTCGAAACTGGAGATACTACAGACCAAAATATGTGAATTGACCTAACATATATGGTGTCAAAGTTAAAATTTTTCCTTATTGCAAAAGAAGTATTTCAGATTTTGGCATAAAACTCGGTATAGGGAGGTTAGTATGAGAAACAAGAATCCGTTATTTTTTATGGCCAAACTTCTAGAGGACGCCACTACACTATTTCCGTAACTTATCATAACTTTTTTGAGCTAACCTGTATTTTCTCGTATTTCCACAACAAAAAAGGTTTACTTGTTAGAAGTGCCTAAAGCTAATACTTTTTTTTAGAGATATTTGTTTTTAAAAGTTCCAATGCATTATTTTTACCTTGATGATAAAACATTTTTATAACATAATAATCAAGTTATTTTGGATAATATCTGAGTAGCGTTGCTATGGTTTCTAATGTTTGTCATAATATTGCTTTAAACGTCATGAATAATTTTATTTAATGTTCGGTTTGCAAGATGTAATTCTTGAAAAACACGAAGAATGTACGCTGACAGATTCCCTAATAGACACCTGCCTAATTCAAAGACTTTCCAACGAATCGATCAACGGTTACGAGAAACTGTAGTTATAAGAACCGGTCACATGAGAAGACACTGTCGTTTAAATCAACAAATGAGGCTCTTCGATTCTACATAGAGTATAAGAAAAGTCCAAGTGCATCTCTTGTCTCAATGCGAGGACCTAGCAAGGTTAAGGTTTTAGATATTAAGAATCACAAATCCAACAGGCGGAAAGCTACGTACTTACAAATATAAAGCCCTGTGTCAAGGCTATGTAGTCAGATTAAAGGATCAAGTGCTTTAGACGGTGTATATGGTGGGCCACAATGGATCCAACCCAACCCCTTTTTGTGACCCAGGGTGGTCTTTTCTATTTTACCTACTAAAGAGATATTAAAATATATAATATGTCGTTTGATTTGACCGGACAATGGAGTCCTACGAGCATGAAAACCACAGGATAAATTTGAGGAGTTAAATTCTCGGTTCTGTCTGTGTCTACCAGTTATTCATTTTACTTACCTGCTTTGAGAAGCACAATTTGATCATCCTGCGACAGTCTCATGAACCCGGGCACCATCTTGGCAAACTCGATGATCTGCTGTATGACAGTTGTGAGCTTCTGTGCGCACTCCAGCCACAGCTCCTCGTGCGCCATATTCTTGTAGAAGAGGAGTCGGCTGAGGTCCTGGGGCTTCCGGAACATCTCGTGGATGTGCTCCAGGGTGTACAGGCAGGTACGACTGTGCGCGTCTGATATCGTCCGGGATAACAGTTCGGAGATCTGACTTGGATCTGTAAAAAATATCCGGAAAATTAGGAATCGCAAATTGTGTACGTTGATGTCTGTATTGAAGACATGCATACTCTCAGGAGTTATGTGTTAAGAAACGGTTTTCCGATACAGTCGAACCAAAGAGGAGTTATACCAAGAGAAGATCGTTGGACAAAGCGATTAAAATTAGAGAGAGATTCACTGGACAAACGTTTATCTTGAAACATTAAGCATTTTACTTTCCATGCCGCTGGTGGAGTATTGCAAGCGCGAAATATTTTGAAAATGAGATATTATTGTTTTTTGGATGTTACATGACACTACAAATGCATCAACAAAAACTATGTACCTAACTTCCGTCGGTCTATTTGTCTGCCTGTCTGTCCCTCTATAACTTTGAAAGTACCGTCGGATTTTGGTGGAATTTGGACACAAGGTTACAAGATGCCAGAAAAGCTCGTAAGACTTAAAAACCGATCCAGTGGCAGCGGAGCTAGGGGTAAAAGACAAAAACACGTCGATCAAACAACGTTCTTTGACGTTTCAGAGGCTCTTGCTGCACGGCTACTATGTAAAAAAACCTAAAACACGTACAGCTATAAAACGAGTTCACAACAAGTGTACAACAGCTTGTGCTAAGTTAAAATCTTGGAGAAAAACATACGAAATGTGAACAAAAAAACTACTAAACGTAAAAAAACGACGAAATGTCACTTTTTAAGATACGTAACACCCGTGCAGATTAATTTTGGAAAACATGTGTAAGGGTTAAAAAATAGAGGCAGGGGGTTGTCGTGTTGCAACTATGGTATCAGTGAAAGACGTTTTATTATCAGGGTTCTGAACCCGGTGATTATACGTACTTGTTAAAGCAAAATAGTTACACATATTGTATATGCATTTGTCATTATAGTAAAATATAGGTAGGTGAAAAGTTAGATGAAAAAAAAATAATAGTTACTTGAATACTTCTAAACAAATTTATGTGTTCTTGTTTTTGTCTGAAATAGGCAAGTAGGCTTTGTGTATTCATTTTTTTATAGCGTTTCCAGAATTTCATATTTCGAAACGATGTCAAGGGCTGACAGGGGAAAATCTTTCTCTATCGTCGCCATCCCTATATTGTATCCCCACCAATCACCAGCCAAAAACCTTAACCACCAATATTTTATCACTATTTATAATTCTTTTTAGCTCTTATTTTTCAGTAATTACTAATAATTTTAGGTCTATGTCTACAGTAATTGCATTATGCATCTCGGAGATGTAGGGATTAACAAGGTTTACACATATCGGTGTTTTAGGATGGGGACGGCCATACTGTTTTGATTGCTTTGAAGAAATCTCATTAACCCATGAATTTATAACAAATGATTACTATTATGATGTAAAGAGAGATGAGGAATTGGTTGGAATACATTTTATATTCTATTTTCTTGCAAATCCGCACAATTCAACAGGTATGTGTAGCTATAATGATCACATATACACACAGTATATTGAACTTAACAAATTTCAAGATTGCCATGAATTAACAAACGACTAAACCTGCTGCCAAATTTAACAGCTTGAAAATCGACCTATTATTTCTTCCATATCCATTCGCTGAGGGGATAACGGATGGTCAAATGTACACCTATAACATAAATCAAAATACATGAAAGTTGTTCTGTTTTCTCTGTACAAAAGCATCATGTTGGATCAAAAAGTGGTCTTGTTTATAATACAGTCAAATTTTCACGATTTTATTCAACATTTTAATAGAAATCATTGATATTCTGAGACCTTTGACAGCTTCCGTCAAATTGCATTTCGATAAGGTATTTTCCTATTGGTACATAATATTAATGTTGGTGAAATCGGCCCTAATATTTCAGGTAACGGCCATACCACGCTGAAAACGCCGGCTCTCGTCCGATCGCCGAAGCTAAGCAGCGTCGGGCGCGGTTAGTACTTGGATGGGTGACCGCTTGGGGACACCGCGTGTCGTTAGCTTTTTTGGTTCGCAGCGTGCTTCCTGATTTTATTTTCTGGTCCTTTTCATGGTGGTTTGAAATTGCATATCATACGTGGACGTAGTTGAATTTATTTTAAGAGGGCCTACTTTGTCACACTTCTCTTTTTGAATATCTACTACTACTGCAAGTCAATCCACGTTATGTAAGGCAAAGTGAAAAATGTAAATTTTATTCAGTTTGGTGAAAAGCATGTGTCTAGTAGGCCGACTATATATTTCACATGCAACTGCTTCAATAGGTTTTTTGGTTTGGTACTATAGAGTTATGTTCAGAAAATGACCATAGTCTAATTGATCGAATTGAGTTGTAAATACCTACTTGACGCCTACTAAACAACTAATAATGCAGTGCCAGATCAATTTAAATGGGAAAGATCAATGAAGGTGACAGACAAACTTCAAATATATTTTGCACTGTGTAGTCTCTTGATGTACCTCCTCTTTGGTCATCCGTTACGTTTTTGCAATCTCATTTTCCTATGGCTCTTTGTCAGTTTTTTGTGACCTGTTGTGATAGATTCTAGACAGATGCTAAGGACTGTCTAAGTACAACCAAGATTTAAAAGAAACTTCTGGGCAGATTCCTTAGATTTTTGTTGTTATTAACCTATATCGGATTCTATAGACATACATAGATCTTTCAAACAAAAGAAGCTCGTTATAAGTAAGTTTGAGCTTTAAGATACTTCCGTTGGCCTTTCTTGTTTATTTTCACTCATAAACATATCGATAAAAAAAATGTATCTGATCTAACATGCAAAGCTCCGAAATTAAAAACCACACAGAAAAATATACCTTGCATTATGACAAGGGATATTATTTTTTATCTTAGAAGCATGACCAATAGTTTTTTATTATCCTGTGTAAGTTCAAATGTGCTTAATGGGGAATTTTCCAAAATTATCGACGGAATGTCGACATTTTCCCCTCAAAAAGTGTATTCCGAGTGTCTTTACTTTTTGCCCTCCAAAGTTCAAGAGTAAAATGTTTGCCAAGCTGTGGCGTAAACAGTATTAAAATGACGGAACTATCTTTTATTTCAAGTCATTGACAAGATGAGAAGATCTATGGTCACATCCTATCGGTATATGGAACGGAAATTACATTCTGCTGCCTGATCTCTCCGAAATTAAAAAAAATCTCTTTCAATGCAGGTATCAATTTCAAATATGTTTCTTCCAACACATGTACCGAAGAATCATTATAAGCTGCATCATGTTTTAAAAACTCGCGGAAACGAGGTCTGTAAATTAAGTGATGAGACTGACAACGTAGTGATCGATCTAGTAACACTAGAGGCGGCCGAGCTTAGATCATCATCAATTTCGAGCAACAGTGTGCTATCAGATTTTGCTGCAGACTTGAGCACGGTGCAATGGAAATTCTGGCTAAACATTAGCAGGCTTACTGAGAGATAGTGTTTTGTCAAGAGCCCAGGTTTTTCGGTGGTTTAAGGCATTTTCGGCAGGAAGAGAGTCGAGTAAAGATGAACCACTAAGCGGAGCGACTTCATCTTCAATGACTGATGGAAATATCGAGTCCGGGTTCAAATCGTCGGTTGACAGAATGATCGGGTAATAGTGTTAAATATGACTCACACCACCGTTCATCAGATCAAGAACAACTTTGGGTTGGATCACGGTAATGATCCTTGTCACACAGCAATTTCAACAAACGAGTTTTTGGTCGGTAAAAACATTCCTGTGGCTCCTCAGCCTCCTTATTGGCCTGACTTGAGTCCTTGCGACTTATTTCTCCTCCCGAAGTTGAAAAATCACGTCAAGGTGAGACAGTCAAAAGATTCAAACGGCTGTAACCGACCAGCTGAAGTCTATTCCAGTATCGGAGTTCTAGCACTGCTAGCAGGAGTGGAAGAACCGTCTCCAGCGCTTTGTGGCTTATTTTGAGGGTGAGAATATGAAATTGTAATTATATTTGAATAAGAAAATTTAAAAAAATCAGTCTCGTCACTTAATTTACAGACCTCGTAAGTTGAAGAGTTCTCAGTCTGACACAGACATAATGCGCCAATCAGCGAAAATTTACAATTTGTGCATGGCTTTACATGTCATTTCTTCGAATGACAAATTTCAACTCGTTCTCTTAAGTAGTTTGATTTGTCTAGTTTGAAGTGGGGTCCACCACTAAACGCCAGAAACAAAACAGCAGTCGGAGCAGTGGGTGGAAGCCGGTGGTTCAGCGCCAAAGAAGAAAAGTCGAGTGCATCTGCTAGAACAACTATTAGAGAATATTATTTCAACGACTTGTTGCCAAAATTCATATACATAAACATTTTAAATATTTTGACAGCTTTCCAGACTTGCACTCCCAGAAGGAACCCTAATAGTCGAAAACGTTGGACGAACTTAGAGCCAAAAAGGATTATGTAAAAAATCATTGTTTACCTGAAAATCGCAGTCTATAATCAGGCCGAGAACTTTTCACCCTACCCCCGTAGACGCAAACAATCTATAATATATTCAAATCATCCCATCAGCGAACGGCGTTTAAATTCGCGTGCTCTTATTAGCCAGCGGACCATAAATGCCTGGGCGTGGCAGCGACAAGCGAATACAAGATACGATCGAGTCCTCATAATTGTTTAAACAGATCATAAGTAAAACTTGGATACATCATAAGTATTCCATCTGTTAAAATAAAAATTTGTTTAGATGGAAAATGCCCCATTACATTTTAAACAACTGCGCATGTGTGAAGCTGTGTAGCATGACAGTGTGTCCGTCAAATGTGTTAGCAAAAGCCGACGAACAAACTAACTGATATCTATCGCGGGTGCGCTTGTCGCCGTCCCGTCTGCAGGAGACTCACAATCTTCGCTTTGCCCCGCCTGCGCCGAATTGGCCACGCCTTCTTGTCGGAAGGTAGTGCTGTCCACATATAGCGTCTCCACTGTTGTGTTGGCCACGCCCTCTTGCTTCACCGCCACTACCGTTGGGGTGGTGCTAGTTGAAAGTCGTTTGAAGGTCGCTGAAGTGACTGTTGCCGCTTTTGGACTGTCGTCGGCGTTGTTACCAGTCGGTTGGTTAGTTCCTAGCGGGGATGCGAGTTAGTTGGAGGTTAAAAGCGGGAGGCGGTGCTATGATGGTGGGAGCTACTATTATGTTATGTGCGTGCCATATGACTGATTCTTTGAATTACCTATTCGGGCTTTCTGTTACCTTTGCACTTAAAATTAACGGTTTGCTTAGAATTGTTCAGAAAACTTCTAAATGACAAAAATGAAAGAAATAGGTGATTATGCCATCTACTGGGCGCTTTTTGTCCTAAACTTGGATTGAAACGATATAAGTGAAAAATGTGTTCAACCTGAAAACTTGTGAAATGTCTAACCCTCCGACAACAAAAGAGCAATCATATAAACTTTGAGACAACGATACTCCCAAATGATAGAAGCGAATTCAGTTTCTTTTTCTGCTTGAAAGGTACCTTAACTAATGATTAACATATTCTATTTGAAGATAGCTAACCATATACTGTGTCCCGGCGCTAGATACCCAATACACTGTAGGCCTCTTTAATGCCTATTTTATCCGAGTATCTCCAGGTGGAATACGTTAATCGATGCCTGATGGTATCCAGTTAAATAGGCATTAGAGAGGTCAAAATGTAATTGAAAATCAGAGCGCCATCTTTGAGATAGTAGTTTCTAAATTCATTCGTGTTTCGCTACCGCCTAAAACATGCTGCTAGTATTCTTCAGAGCCCTTTTTGAACGCTGGAATCTATGGTATCTTTTAGAAAACTTCAATCGATGCCTTAATCTAGAATGCTCACCTATGATATAATATAATTTATTCAAAATTATCAATTATTGTCTCTATGCATCACATGAATGCTTTTTCCAGTTACTATTTTAATAGGTTAGCCAAAGGTAAGAATATGACTGAGAAAGCAGAAAGCAAGCTGTACCACCACCATTGCACTCTTTCACCAAAATTTAAAATATAATCTTGCATGCACTTTCACTTTACACCAGAATTTAAAATTATTCATTGTTAGTAAGTTGGTTCCTCCACCAAAACATGCAAAATTCAATAAAAAAAACAGAAATCATCAGTTTTGTATTACCGTAGCGCAAAATGGTGAGTACTTTTTTAGTAAATGTAAAAGATACAGAAAACACTTTTTCGTGTACAAAAAAGCTGTAGATGAGAATGTATTCAAAATATAACGTTCACGTTTTCAATTTGCTACATCCGTTGATTTCTTATAAGAAAAGAATATCCGAAGATTTTGGAATTGTTTCTACCAAAACGTGCACATCATCACTATTTCTGAAATAATCGTCAAGGATTAGACCCTGCTTGGTAATTCACACCCAAAAAAGGTTCATTCAAAAAACTAAACAGATAATAATAAAAACATAATTGAGTTCGATTATTTTGATGAGGTGTCCAGCAACGTGAATGCTACAGCAAACCGGACATATAATATTTTGAAAGTTTTATAGTTATATATATAGTTATCTCCTAAGACACTTCTGCACTCTATTTGTAAAACTCTTTCATATTTTTTGTGGGATATATGCGACATTGTTTTAAAATACTTCTATCTGCAGCTTTTCCTGTAACGGGAACTGTTTTTGGCTTGATCAAAATAAGACTTTTACATCTTTTGGTGAGACCAGCCTGAGATATAAATTCCCGATGATTTCTGAAAGTGTCTACATCGGATGATTTCAGCAATACATATACCACCGACATATATATGGACATATCTGTACACAAAATTTCCATTTCAGATATTGGAATGTTGTTGTTATTGTAACTAATACTGTTGCCATCATTCACACATTCACAGGTGGAAAACTAAACAAACGTTTATTGTCGTAGATCGAAGGTAGTGTATACGATATTTAAATATGAACACAGCTTCAGCTAGAATACGAGTTTATATATGCGCCTAGAGATTATGATGTTGCAGCGGCGAACATGAATCTGAAACAGTGTTCGAGTAAATATCGTAAACGGTTGACAGAGCAGTGCACCTACATCCAAGACTTTGCGAGAAGTTTAGCAACGTTGGGTTTGTTACCAATTATACCTAGCTTGACATTCGACTGATTTTACGAGAACATTTAATTCATAATTGGCCTTGATTATGTATGAGTGTGTGTGCATCGTCGTACACATTGTCTGAATTGCCTGAAGCAGAAGGCTTATCATTTCACCGGTAAGTAAAAACACTATTACGAGGGATGTCTTTTAAGTTTTGCGTATAGAAGCAAAGTAGGCCGCGCGGATCGAACGTCAGTATTGAATCTTAACCTCACTCTTTGGTAAACTTAAATTCAAAGTTTCACAACAACACATGCAGTGTTCGCACTACAGTGAATTTTTAATTGTCACCAAGTCATTAGAAAAATGGAACTCAACCGAGAACATTTTCGCGCCATAATTTATTACAACTTTCAGAGATAATTATGGCGACAAGAATGCCTTGCTGAGTTACTGTCTGTTTTCGGCAACGAAGCGCCACATCAGTCGACAAGTTCCCGTTGGTATGGAGAATTCAAACGTGGACGAGTGAGTTTTAGCGACGATCCCAGGGTGTGTGCACCAAAAACGGCAGTCACCCAGGAAAATGTCGATGCTGTGCGCAAACTCATCATTGAAGATAAACATGTAACATACCGCGAGATTGAGGCGTCCTTGAAGATCTCAAGGAGCTCAATTCAAAAAAATTTACATGAAGAATTAGGAGTAAGAAAATTAGGTTCTCGTTGGATACCCCACCTGTTGACTGAAGAGCAGAAAGCAGCCAGGGTTAATTGGTTAACGGAAGAAAACGTGGAATTATTGGACCATCCTCCATATAGTCCCGATCTAAGTCCTAACGATTTCTTTATTTTCCCGAAAATTAAAAACAGACTGCGTACTCAAAGGTTCCAGTCACCAGAAAAAGCATTCAAAAATGCCGTTTCGGATCTGTCAGCAAACGAGTGGAATAAGTGCTCCGAAAATCGGTTCGAGCGCATGCAGATGTGTATTAATCTTCGTGGAGAATACTTCGAAAAACAATAAAGTCAATTAAAACTACTTACCGTGTTGTTTTATTTCCATATGCAAAACTTAAAAGACATCCCTCGTAATACATGTTTAAAACAGTAAAAAAAATAAAAACTAAATATAATCCAGCAACGTTAATGAAGTTCCTTGAAAGTGTTATTACTATTTGATCCAGCTCTATCAGAGCACATCTCTAATTTAAAAGCGGACGCCGGGAAACTACCGTGCGGATGACGGGGAGTACCGTTTGCTTTTGGGTAATTTTTCGCATTTAGATCTCCAGCAGTCAAACGTGCGAAGTCGTAGCGTGGTGGTGTGTTTTGTTTTTGTGCATTAAAGATCGGCAAAAACAGAAAGGCAATGACAGGGAGGAGAAAGGATCCCGTGTGGAAATATTTTAAGGAGACTGATGCCAAAACTGGCTCGAAAATAAATAAAAGAGCAAAATGTTTATCCTGAAATATGGATACCTGTATAGTCCCACTAGTCGCTAGAATGCGCAACCTTTTAAAAAATTCTAAACAACTTAAACAAGGAAGTTTGTTAGAAAAACAAAATATTCATATATCAGATAGTTCTGACCGACAATGATGCTATTTCTACCGAACCCATTTCCTCATGATGAGTAGCTTGGAGATTTGTCAAAAAGGTACATTATTTACTTGGAGATCCGTAAAAAGTAGTGAAAACTAAAAATTTATTCTATGTACATTTTCCATGATTTTATATATTAAAAATATGAATTTAAGGTTTTTTTGATTTTTTATTAAATAAGATGGGTTGTATACTTTTATAGAAATTTGTTAAGTAACTTATTTAATCTTATTATACAAGTAAATACATAGTCATATTATATGATTATTCTGCTGCTTGTAGTGTACTAATAGTATTAGAGTTAGATGCAGTTTATTAAGTTCACTCGTTCGTTAAGAAACAGATTTTTCCCACTAGTATTAGTTCCCTAGTTTCATGTTTGATTAATTAATAAACAATAAAGTATATTTTTTAACCTATTGCCCGTTTAGTTTCGTTTTTTCAATTTCAATCATACTTAAAAAATATAAAAAAACTTGTGTAATTCACAAACATGTTTTAAACAGTTTAAAACAAATTGGTTTAAAACACCTTCATTGTCTTAAACAGTGTTTAAAACATTTGGAAAATAAATATATGAACAATCATCAATGAACGGCCTCTACATATTGTCGGTGGTCTATACGCAATGTTCCCAGAACATCAAGGTCTACACCCAATGATTCTCGAACGGCACCTATCCTATAGTACCACCTACCTGTAGTAACGACATTCATAATAGGCTGACTATCCGGCGTCAAACCGTCGAGTCCGGTTCCTGCGCCCGGTCTCGGGTCGTACGCGGTCGTACTGTCCACGTAGTCCGCAGAAATGTCGTACTGTAGGCTAGTGGCGGCTGCGACTTGCGTCTGGCCAGCGCCGCCTCCGCCGCTGCTGTAGTAGGGGTTGTAGGCGCCCACGTCACTGTTGTACGAGTACCTAGGGTAAAATAGTTATTTATGTATCTAGTGCGTACAGTTGGCATCTTAATATGTCAACTGTCAGGGGGATGAAGATCTTCACGACATCTATGAGACAGTAGCAGAACCAAACTCTCCAACACTTTTAAAAGTGGATTTCTAAGCCCATTTTTATGTTGTGCTGTTTCATAGATGCGTTAGGATCTTTCTTTGTCGAACTACAGTAAATTGTTGGCTATCTTCAGGTAAAATACTCAGTGTTCGTAGCCACAGGGTGAAAATGGATTTTGCTTCGAGATACTTCAAAGGTTCCAGATGATTCCGAAAAACTAGGTAACTACAATCGCAGCAAAAAAATACGTACACAAATCACGAATCTTATGTGAGTTTCTTGCTGAGATCGTCGAGAAGTCCCATTTCAAAATCACTGTCCCAAAATTCCTTCGTGTGCCAAGTTTTGTTCATTGTAGGTACGAGAAACAAAAATGAAAATTTTGCTTTTCGTAACTTTAAAGTTTATTGATGAAGAAATTCCAAAAAATCTCAGTATAAAATTACCCAATAGTAACATTTATTCACTGGTAGGTGTACGGGTCGATTATAGAAATTTTGCATCGAAAGCATTGGAGTTCAAAAGCAATAATTCTTGGATATCAGCAATTTAATGTTACGTTTTCGCTGAGATCAACAATACGACAGTTTAATAGTATGAATTGAACACTTGACGCCTATTCTTGAATTACACTTTACCATCTATTAATTCCAGATAGAGCATATGAAAAGTAAAAGGACTCACCCTCCATTATAGCTGTGATGCAACTGATCGCTACTAGATGGCGTCTGCTGCTCGAACACTGAACTATCCGGCGCCGAATCACTCTGCGCCCTCAGCTGCGCCCGATGGAATCGAACCTCGTCTTCAACTTTCTCCCTTTGCTTCTTCGACATGCGCCCGAACTTTACAGCTGGAATCAAATAGCATCACCTTAAACGCAGCCTAATTTGAATACTTAAGCAACTAATTTAAACAAAAAGATGGTTAAGTAACATCTCAAGTGCAACCTTTTCAGTCCAGGTTTTAACGAATTTATATGTTACCAGCCTCTATATTGCATCAAGATTGCACTTTAAAAAAATCAAAACATTGTTTTTCCGCTCCATTCTGCCAAAAGGTTCTTATAAATCTTTATCCAAAGCTGATAGTCTTAGGGATATAAGCGATTTAATCTTTGAAAAACTGCAAAATATGCCATTTTTGATCCCGAAAAACAATATGAAAGAACAAACATTTTAATAGGTTAAAACAAAATGAGATGCTTTCGTCCAACCGACCAAGAAAAGAAGACAGCCAACCGTGGGTGGCTTCGTTTGGTTTAACCTGTTCAATGGCTAGCAGACCACTTCTGCATTCAGCCAGAATCATCAGCCATCTAGCGGCACGGCTATTAAACGGGAACTGAGATCCATGACAGTTCCGACTAATAGCAGCGGTGCGCGATCTACAATGGTTCGATTCTGGTGCGATAGATGGTGCTTCGCGCTATCTCATGCTAAAAATTTTAATGTTATAAAGTTCTTAAATATTATAATAACAATACCCCCCAAACGCTTTGGAATTTTGTTAATGGTTGTTTGAAGAATATTCAAACTTCAGCAAAATCAACATTATAATTTTTTCATATTGTTCTTCGAGGTCGAAATGGCATATTTTGCAATTTTTCAAATTAATATCTCGAAAGCTATCAACGTTACAGAAACGGTCATCAGAACCTTTTTTGTTCATAAGCCTAAAATGTTTTGTTTGGAGCGAAAAACCAGTTTTTGAAATTCATTTTAAAAAATATTTAAACACTTTTGGACGCAATTTTGCGCGTGGCAACATGCAATTCGCTCAAAGGGTTTTTATCCCAAAATATTTGTCTCAGTCAACATTACCAGGTTATGGAGTAATACAAAAGATTCGTAGAATCCTTCGCTTTGTCTCAAAAATATGTACAATAGTGTGTGTTTCTCGAGTATTGTAACACATTTGTCAGAATCTTAACAAAGACGAAATATTTGTATTTGATTAAAAGAAAAGAATTAATATTTTGTTTTTCTCAAAAAAATAACGTTTAGCTTGCGAAGTGTTTTGTGATCCTTATGGGTGAGGGAAAGTCACGTATATTGCTATGAAATGTTTTTTGAATGAACTCTGTATAGGGTGTTCCTTAACGATATGCGAATATTTAAAAAATTGAAAAATTAATGTTAGTATGCTTTATAAACTATGGTCCAAAAATGTTTCCTTACAAAAACTCGGGGCGTTGAAGTGTTAGAAAAAAAATGGAAATTAATTAATATATCTAGAACCGTTTTAGATATTTCACTGATTTTTAGTACGTAGTAAAAGTTAATAAAGTTGCATATTTTTCAGTGCAAAAATAATTTTTAGGCTTAACAGTGGCATGCGTACGGGTATTGACGATATTTTTTAAGAAAAAAATGGTACGACAATGTTTTTTGCCAAATAAAAAGTATTTTTGAATTCCCCGTTCAATTTAAAACAAATGATCTCTCTTGAATTGTTTTCCTTCGATGCGCCATTTTTATTAATTAATTTAATTGGAGAAACTAAACACATTAGGGGTAATGAACAACAACAACTGACAACATAAACATAACATAACGAAATGATTACAAGACTTGTTGGAAATGGCCCCACTCACTTAGCACCTATGCATGCTTCCGCCCTCCTCATGGAATTGCGCACTCGTTGAAATATCCCTGGAGTGTTTTTTATTCTCACAAGCTCAACTATTCTTTCTCTTAGTTCCTCTACAGTGTTAATAGGACTTGTGTACACTAGTGTCTTAAGATAGCCCCACCAAAAAAAATCTAATTTGTTGAGGTCTGGGGACCTTGGTGGCCATTCTTGGGGCCCACCGCGGCCAATCCAACGATTTGGATAAACAGTCTGTAAATAATTACGAAACGCTACACTGAAATGCGCTGGTGCACCATCATGAATATACCACATGTTGTTTCTTATTACTATCGGAACATCATCAAGCAGCAAAGGCAACTCTTGTTGAAGAAATGGACGTATGTTCGTCAAGTGGTCTCGGCAAGAAGAATGGGCCAATAAAGTGGTTGCCAATAATTCCTGCCCGTACGTTAACCGAAAATTGGTGTTGGAAATGGGTTTCGGTTACGGCATAGGGATTTTCTTCTGCCCACAAATGATTATCGTCTGAATGGCACTTCGAAAAAAATAAGCTTCGTCCGTGAACAGAATCATTGAGTCAAATTGCGAAATTTGGGTAATTTTTTGAAGATACCACTGACAAAAGGTCACACGCCTTAGAAAGTCAATGGGAAGTAATGCCTGTACTCTTAAAATATGGTAAGGATATAACAAAAAATTCACTAAAATTCTCGAAACAATTTGATGGCAAATGTTAAGTGTCTAGCGATCTTCCTCGTACTCGTTTAAGGATGTTTTTCGACTTCGTGCAGCACTGCTTCCTCAATTTCAGGTGTTCTCACACTTAGAGGACTACCTTCAGATGTCCCTTTTCCGACAGAACCAGTTTCAACAAGACGACGATGAATATTAGAAAAGGTTTGACTATCTGGCAAAGCACAATCGGGATATCTCCGTCTGGATTGCTAACCATTACCGTCGGCAAGGCCATATACGTAATGCATTTTCGCCATTTCTGCATTTGAATAATTCACCATTATTAACAAGATTGTCAAAACTGAATAATGAAAAACTTGACACAGCGAACGGATTTGAATAAGAGACTTGTCAGATGTCAAAAGCCAGTGAAATATTCCAGAGCAACTAGATATTTATTGCTAAATTGCATTCTTCAATTATTACATTAATTTTCTCGGGCAATAGAACGGTTTTTATTTTTTTACCCAAAAATGACGCATCAAAAGATAACAATCCAAGGTAGATCATTTGTTTAAAATTGAACGGGAAATTCTAAAATAATTTTTATTTGGCAAAAACTATTGGCGTACCATTTTTTTCTTAAAAAATATCGAAGTCAATACCCGTACGCACGCCACTGTTAAAGTTAAAAATTATTTTTGCATTGAAAAATATGCAACTTTATTAACTTTCACTACGTACTAAATATCAGTGAAATATCTGAAGCGGTTCTGAAAATATTAATTAATTTCCATTTTTTCCTAAAACTTCAACACCCCGAGTTTTTGTAAGGAAACAATTTTGGACCACAGTCCAAACTAACATTAATCTTTCATGTAGATTCAAATCCTTAAATATTCGCATATCATTAAGGAACACCCTGTATATTGCTTCATAACCTGGTAATGTTGTCCGGAAGATGAGTGTCTTGGGAACAACTAGAAATTCTTAAAAACTACTTGACCGATGATGCATGTTTGTTGTGGTTATTCAGAAGTACGACAATTACAGATTTGAGGAATATCAAGTATCTGCATGACAGTATTTATCGTCGCATTACCAAGAAGTGCCAAAACCTGCATTTTGGCGAGGTTTTTGCCCATAACCTTTTTGCTTCTAATTGGAACTTTGGATGTGTAGTGTCATTTTTGTAGGTCTCCTAAGTACCTGAAAAGATAATTTGAAGAGTTTTTGGTTCCAATCAACAATTTCAATATAATCCCAAAAAACGCGATTTCTCATTATTTCTTGCTGAATAGAAAGTATTCCTACACAAACTAAGCTTACCATTTTGTACGCCCATGTTTCAAATAACCCCTAAACAATTTGCATCGAAAAAAAAAACAATCATTATAATTATTTCTAATTTGATTAGACTAAACCCTATTTCACGAGTATCCATCACGCGGAGGTGAACAGGTGATCAGCAAAGTGAAATTTATGTATTAGCCTACAATGTTGGCAATAATGAGTCGGGTGTAAATCTAGTAAAACTTGCTTGTGACGTTTTTTTTGTATATTCATCTAAATAAAAGTGTTGTTAGCAAATACAAAATACATCTGTGGCGTATTAAATACCAAAACATACGGCTCTGTCTACTTGGCGTTGAGGGACCCATCAGAGTTATGTGTCCTTTGTTGATATGGGGAACTTTGAAATATTATTAGGTAATCAGTTGTCACTCTACCGTAATGGATACTCGTGAAAAAGACAATACAAGGGTGCCTCTATATAAATCAGCTGATACCCGCTCTAAGTAGTGGAGTTTTTGCATGGCTTTTATAAGGATTTTATTTAGTGCTTCTTTGCTCGCATGATTTCCTTTGTTGGCAAATTCGGCGTGAACCAAAAGTTTGAATAAAGAGCGAATTTTGCATAGAAAATCAAGTACCGGAACACTAAATATATACTTCGACAAGTTTTTGAATGATATGGCCGATTTCACTGGGGACGGATCCAGGGGGTGTTCTCGAGTTCTCGGCCCTCTCGAAATATCAAAGTATGAAGAAATTTCTTAACGCGTTTTCAATTTGCAGATGATCAATTTTGAATCGCGCATCCCCACGCTCTTCAATTTTCAATCGCCGATACCCTTTCCCTCGAGACGCACATTTACCTCTCGAAATATCAAAGTATGAAGAAATTTATTAACGCGTTTTTCAATTTGCAGATGATCAATTTTCAATCGCGTATCACCACGCTCTTCAATTTTCAATCGCCGATACCCCTTCCCTCGAGACGCACATTTTCCTGAACATGAATACTGAGCAGTCCCTCCCTCATCCCAGCTCTTTTTCAAGCTCGTAATTTCAATTCATCAAAAATATATCCTAGATTCGCCCTTGAAGATAGTCCTTGGAAGATGACAAGTGATATCGTAGACCTTCTACAAGCATCGAACCCGAAAATTCTTCAGTTAAAATTTTAGGTTCGCTCTTTGCTCAAAGTTCTGGGTCACGATGAAATCGCCAAAGGAACACTAAATAACCGACGAGAAAACATCGCACGCTACTTTGTGAGATTATTAGCTGATTTATAAAATAGACACAACTTCGAACTGCCATCTGTTGGTAAGTTACGTAGCTAGTCCAGGAACTTATTGATAGACCTTCGTATGTATAATAAAAGAGAAAAATTGTTTTTACTGACCGTCCCTGCTCATGCCAAGCCTGAGGCACTTCTGCAGCCGGCAGTACTGGCACCTGTTCCTGTTCACCCTGTCCACGACGCAGTTCTTGTTCCTTGGACATTGGTAGTTGACCACCGAGGACTGCGACCGACGGAAGAACCCCTTGCAACCTTCGCATGTGATCACGCCGTAGTGCACGCCGCTGCTTTTGTCGCCGCACACCTTGCAAGGGATTATTTCGATTTGGGCTGAAAGAAAAACAAAAATGTCAAGTTATGAATAGAGATGTTCGTCCGTACTGAATGTTTGAGTCGAATCACCATGTACAGACCGCACAAGATTATACATGACCAGAAAATGTGCCATACAATAATTGAATTGCTTCTCGGGTTCTATGGCATTCGACGCTACATGAGTTATCCACATTAATATCAGCCTACAGAGGCTCGTGGATTGAAGAAGGAAATCCAACGCAACATTAACGAAATTCAATCATATTTATGCAAAAAGGTCGAGGCAAATTGGAAGAAGTATTTTGCCTTATCGAAACCAGAAGAAATAAAATAAAAGAATACATTTTAAAAAAATCATTTATTTAATAAAATAAGCAAAAAATTAGAAAATATATTTTCCGACCGGAAATATTCAAACCTCAATGAAGTTCCTTCATCTCAAGTTTTCAAATCAAACCGTGTTATACCCTTTTTTTCATCCTGCTGAAAAGACATAACTTGAAATGAACGAGCCTCATTATCGTTTAAATATCTAAAATCGGAAAAATTATGTTTAAATTTTTGGTTTGTTCTATTAACAGCTAAATACAAACTTTTTTCAAACATTTTTTATTTTACTTACTTTTTAATAGATATATATATATATATATATATATATATATATATATATATATATATGTATGTTGTCAAATAACTAGTTTGGTAATTTCGATTTGATTTTCATATATTTTATTGACATGACTCCATAAAACTTCTTACTTCTTTTGTATTATAAAATTTCGATAGATATAAATCATATAATGATAAATCCATATTTTGCAGCGATAGCCATATGGAATATACAGAATTTAGAATGATGTTATATGCTTATTGTGTTTATCTCATCAAGCACTTCCATTGACGTCACATTGTTTATTTTGTTTCCATCAAACCCTTTAATGTGGAAATTATGCAGCAAAATCGTGATTTTGCTGCGTCCACCATATTGGGCTTAGAACATCGCCACGTTGCTTATTACGTTTCTATCATCAAGCCTGTACTTTGATACCTTTATCATAGGTGTGACTATGGTAATTATAAACGCCATCTTAGTACGGTCGTAATTTCGGATTTAGAACGAGGTCTCTTTGTTTATTGCGTTTCCCACATCAGCCTTTTCATTTGGTATCCATATCATAGAGGTGACTATGAAAAATGTAAATTGTCATTTTTCGGCCGCCGCCAGATTGGATTTAGCATAACGCCACTTGGCTTATTGTGTTTCTCTCATCTAGCCCCTTCATTTGATTCCCATACCATAGGGGTTACTATTCAAATGATAAATGGTCATATTGTAGCAGCCGCAATATTGGATTCAAAATGGCGACAGTTAATTCATGCTACATTACCACGCAATCCAAACGTGTGTACAACATTTCGGGTCAATTGGTTAACGTAAACTGGTTCAAAATTCAGTTCTACTTGTCCCACTAATATCAACATACTAACAAACAGTAGTTAAATAAAAAGTTGTGAAACCTATCTATTCTCTTTATACTGGCACCATCAAATATCAAAGTGTTTCTGAACTACTCTTTCCACATTCTGATTACCTCTGATAGAATTGACCTGCTTCCTCTCTTCCTTTACTTCCTCAGCATTGATAGCAGCCGCGTGCAGGTGGTACTGCAATAAGGGAGGGGGAGGTTGAGGTGGTGGAGGGGGACTAGTGGAATCCGCAGGTGGTACCACTCCATGGGGGGTGACATGGGAGATCCTCACCAAAGGTGGGGGTTCGGAGATTGGAGAATGGGCATTTTGGGGTTGACAATGTTGGGGGGTGGCAGACCACCCCCCACTGCCACTGGCCTCGCCACTTTGGAACAATTCTCGGAAAGTGTCCATTTGACAGGAGATAGGTATGAGCACAGCGATCGAGAGATACTGCGGGCATGCAACCACATATTTGCACTTGTCTTTGGAAAACGTACCGTACCGCACACACGTTAGCACTCACTGTTATTTTTTATTTAGTCACTTCTTATATGGTTTGGTTTACTTGAAAGACATCGATTTCCATTATCATTCAAAAGAGTTGATGCAAAATCACAAGCTTTCCGCAATCTACAAAAACAAATAGAACGTGCTTGCACCTTGGATGTTCGTAGAAAAGATACCGAGTTGCTTCCACCGTTTCTCGTTGAATTTTGTTGCCACAATGAAAATACTCGTATGTTGCGTACATATATGTTTTTCACTATTAGCCCGAGAAATCACCATTATTAATGCCTCATTGAGAAGTAGTATTTATCTCCGTGAGTAAATAAGGAAAACAAAAATAACACCTAGGTGAATAATAATGTCATTTCAAATTGAATCCTGTCAATTGTGTTTTGTCATTTTAACAACTAGAATGACTGAGAAATAAGTAATATTGAGTATAGCTCCTCATGTAGCTCTCCTTCGAGAAAGCTCCAAAATCGAAATAATGTTTTGAAACGGCTTTTAATGTTAACAAAAATAAAACATTTGGACCCTACTCCCTTCCGATAGACCAGTTCAAACCTGTTGCATTGGAACCACCCCAGTATTACGAAAGCACTAAGGAGGGCGCGGGGTCTTCGCTTTGCTTATTTTTGGAGACATATTAAGAGATGCGGGTTCTGGACGGTGATTATGTCAGCAATATTTTATTTTATCTTTTCGGATTTTCTACAAAGTTTGGTCGATTTTGATTTGAACACATTTGGCAACCCTGGTTGTCTATGCTCGAAACCGAAACGCAACTTCAGGGATTCCCCAAATATGGAGCTGCTTACTCGATTAGAATCTTAGCTATAAATGCCGCTGGTACAAACGCGTATAACCGAGTAGAGTGCAGAATGCTGCCACTTAGTTGGGAACTGGCTGGTTTCATATGGCCTCAGCCATTTTGGATCTTATTTGGTTAAACGTTACAAGTTACAATTGATGTAGTTAGAAAGATTCAATTTTGGATGGAGATGTATTAGCAGATCATCCTGATTTTCCTGATATTAAATGGAATTCAGAACTTGTGCCAATACTTGCTTCAAATTGTAATATGTACCAAAAACTTTACGTAAGCATGGGAGGGGGTAGGAGATTTGCTGACTTTTGCTGATAATTGTAAGGAGTCTGCTTAGGTAATCCTTGAACGGCCCCAAGTGAGTGAGTCTTTATTTCAAAGACGTCGGTCTATACGTAAAATAAAAATACTGAACGGTTGTGAAAAGTTCTTAATTTTTCTGTTACAGTTGGTGCAACATTTGGATCCACAGAGCACTGGATAGGTTTGGAGATATTTTTTATTTCGGGGACAATGTGTATTTTGTTTTTCTTATTAGTGTTGTCGAAGACAAAAATAATGACCTAAAAAGTATCGTTTCTGGGTTTGATGAAAAACGGGATTCACTCTAATTTTTAAAATTGAGGTTTAATCAGTTAAATTACGATTTGCTTCATATCCCTTAAATATTATTTTAGACTACACTAATGAAAGACACATAAATGACAAGTCAATACACAAGTGAACGCCATTAGTCATTCAAAATTACTCATTACCCTTTCAAACATTAGTAACGTATTATTAGAAAATGTAGGAATCATACATATATTATTCATTACATCTTCAAATCGCTTATATGAAAGACGTTCATTTTGGCTAGTTGGAATAAAAATCTGGTACGAACAAGTCTCGTCAGTCGCGGCAACTGCATGGAAAAAGTTAGGCTATTTGTTTAGGGCTAAGAAGTCCTTTTCTCCACATAACCTTCTTACTTTGTACAAGGCCCAGGAAAGACCTAGTGCTCACATGTTTTGGGTGCTGTCGCCCCGACTACATGTTTCGTGCTTGGTGCTGTTTAGAGGAGGGCTGTCCGAATGATCAATGACTGTTTTCTAACGGACAATCTATGACCCTTTCGCACCGACTGATCGTCGGCGATCTGGCTCTCTTCCACTGTTGTGTCAACGGACTTTGCTACTCAGAGCTCTCGTCCACGGTGCCACCACGCGATGACTTCGTACATCCAAAACTCGCCGGTACGACTGCTCCTTGGTCTCTAGGATGTCGAGACTGTGGAACAATGTGCCAGAAGGATTTTCTCAGTTCTACCAACCTTAAGCTGTTCAAAAATCGGATTAACAAGGTGTTTTCAAGCTTCCCATTGCAACCGCCGTGCCCAGCAACATAGGCTCCTGTCTAAGCGGTTCCTTCGGGGGAAAAATGTTGCGCGTACACATTCACCATCTTTTCAAATAAGAGTATACGCTACATTCAACATATTTTGAAATGCGGCTTATTCCTTATTCTATACGACACATTCACCAAAATTTATAGATTGTAAGGAACCATTGGAATAAATTCAATTTTTACGAACCATTATAAAGTTATATCATAATAAAACTTCAAGTCATGGATTTTCGGTAATGTTTTATCGATTTATGTGTTCTGAATTATCAAAATTTTGCCACTGTGCCCCTGGGATCTCTTGCGGATATCAGTAGCACAATAGTCAGTGGCAAGGCGTACGTATTTATTATGAGTAATCCTGATTTTATATATTTTATAAACAGGACAACAAGTACGTGTATAAAATCACCCATCAAATATAGCTCAAAGCTGACTCCAAGATATCAATAAAAAAAAGCGACACAACGTGTTGATAACCGTCTGATGGTCACTCAAAAGCCTGAATTCCTGCATGTGGAATACTGTCATCAGCAAGGCTGTGAATCGGATAAGGAAAGGAGGTCGTTGATATGTGTCAGAAGCCATATGTCGGAGCCAAGACTGATCCCTGGGGTACACCAGCGTTGACGTTGTGGGATGAAGAGGAGGGGAACTCATGAATTACGATGGATATCTTGGGCCGAAAGAGGAAATCAGCCACCTCCATGCAAAGCTTCTCTGGGAGGCTGTAGGACGAACATTTGCATCTGTATGACCTTTGGTTTGACACTTTGTGAGAACAGAAAGCATGCATTGAAATCATGTTCCAAAGCATGTGATCCGTATTTGCATATTGGCTATTTGTACCTATCCAATCTATTTTTGTAGGTGGGCAGCATCCCGAAAAATATAGGAGTTTTTTGACCCGGCAAGATACTCAAATCGGTTTCCAACCTACCGCACGAAATTTCACAATGATAACGGACCCGGTGCTTGTATATGTATGAGTGTATATGTCGATGATCTTTCAGCCACTCTAGCGCCAGTAGAGAGCCACCAAGTGCGTTGAACCGTGAAAACGAAATCGGAGTGAGGCACAGGCGGCGAATTAAGGATTTCAATCCTTTCTTCTTCTCCTCAAATTATCCTTTTCTTTCCACGCCACTGCCGAGGAAGTATTGTAATCCGAATTTCAGTCTACTAACTTGACCCGTTCAAAAAATAATTAGGGTTGGGGACCTTTCTCAGCGAACAAGGTGAAAGGCAGTCCTCAAATAGAGAAAATATCCAACTTGAGATATTAGCAGTGATGCCAAAAACCAAAAAGTAAAAAGTTCGTAGAAAGTATCGTTGAAATTCGGCAGGGAACAATCAGCGCCTTCACAAGATCAGCGGTAAATCGAGCCTTTGTGTCATGCAGCGGCGTCCATAAAAAAGTATATATTTGAATTTCACGCGTACGTACACATAACATAGGGTTTTTGAGGACATATTTTCTTAAAAACCATCCTGAAAACGCCTTTACCCATTTTTGTTTATAAGACTGTGAATATTATTCTATTCTACCCAGATCTTGAAGCCTCATCTTAAGTTAATATACAGTATATTTAATTAAAAACAGACGAGCTTTGGTTTCCTTGTTACTTGCCCGGTAATGCGGTAATCGCGGTAAAAACCACCAGTCTTTACCTGATGTACGCGCAAAAACCAATACAGGGAAAACGAAGCAAGGCGTACATAATTATTGGCAACCCAAAACCCAAGTCCACGTCCCTCGTGTGCTCGTCTGCTTACGTACGAATATGTTGATGATATGAATTATTTTGTGGCCTTATTTTTGGTTCCAGCTCTTATTTCGGTTAAAAATCTGGAAATATCTCAATTACTCTAAAAAATCATGGAAAATGAGCACGTTTTCGGTATTTTGGTGAATAAGGTCTCATTTCGGTATAAATATCTAAAAGTCTGTAGTTCCGGCAACATTGGATCTTAGCGACCTGTAGCAAATCCGTCATTATCACAGTTTGACGTCACCTATGTCGTTGCCAAAATCCACGTTACGCCCAGCCTATCAGAACGCACGAACGATCGGTAGGGTCAACGACCTTTTTGGGCACTTTGCTTACTTTGACGAGTCTCTCTATGCTACTACGCCTAGGTCAACGATCTGGATGCGAGAGTGACCGATAAGATGCTCATCCATATTACTACACATTACGCGCCAAGCGGCATAAGCTATGATCGGATAGTATACGTATACGGGATCGATGACATTTCAACGCCGAAAATTTTGAACACTTACGATTTGTAAATAGTTAGGCGTACATACATTAAGCGTCTAAAATGAGAATATTTTTTATATTATACCGCATAGCCTAAATACCGCGGCTGTAAAAGACACTTTGATAATCCGATTTTTCAACTGCCTAAGGTTAGTAGAACTGGGAAAAGCCTCCTCTTGTAGCTTGTTCCGCAATTTCGACACTTTAGGGACAAATGAGCGGTCGTATCGGCCAGTTCTGGATGTACGAAGTTTGATTATGATTAGGACGCGAGGACAAAGTCAGGCGGGTCTGTCCGACAGGCTCATCGCGCGGCAGCATCATGTAGGAGAGCTCTTTGGAACAAAGCCCATTGACATAGTGGTAGATGAGAGCCAGATCGGTGCGAAAGGGTCCCGAGACTGTCTGTAAGACGGGAGTCATCGATCAGTCGGAAAGCCCTTCTCTGAATAGCATCTAGCATGGATAATGTAGCCAGGGCGGCAGCACCCCAAACTTGTGAGCAGTACTCCAGGCAATCTTGGACTTGTATAGAGTGAAGAGGTTATGTGGAGAAAATTATTTCTTGAGAAAAGCACTTGTTCACTGAAACCGGATGAGCGCTAGGACGTTGCTTTGTTAGTCAAGACACATTACTTTGTTTTGGAAGC